TTTTTTTTTTTTTTTTTTTTTTTTTTTTTTTTTTTTTTTTGCCTAAATGGAGCAAGACTTCTGTTCCATAGTTGGCTAACAGAGGCCTCAATCTTTTGAAGTCATTTCTGAACCATAATCTCTGTTGCAGAACACAGGAAAAAGATCAGGACCCTCTTTGAATGGCTCCCATGAATACCCCCATTTAATACAGGGCATTTCAGCCTCGCCATGGTAGACATCTGGGCTGGATAGTCTGTTGCAGAGGGCTTTTTCTTTTAACCACTGAGCCATCTCTCCAGCCCTGGGCTTTTTTCTTTACTGTTGGATATTTAGCAGTATCTTGGACCTCTCCTAGATGCTGGTAGCAGCTACCTCTTTTCTGACCCGTCATGATAAAAAGTCATGGCAAATGTCTTGGGGGTGGGAGCTGGCAAGGTCTCTCCAAGCTGAGAATCACGGATGGAGGAGCTGGGGAAGAGGAGGTTCAGGGTGCTTGAAGAGGCTGCCTAAAGGTCACGTGACTGCGAGTGGCATTCACACCCCGGCTGCCCGGTCCTAAACCTGTGGTCCTCACCACTACAGATTGGAACCCTGTCTATTTGGTGATACATGGTCATGAGTTTGGATGGCTAAAACCCCCTTCAGCTCACTCCTCAAAGAGAAGAGCTCTGGCTATTTGGATCTTCTAAGAAGCAAACACCAAGGAACGAGTGAACGTGGAAGGGAGCTGTGCAGAAAAGGAAGTTATAGTCTTTCCTTTTCTTGTCGCCATGACCAAAATACATGACAAGAAGTAACTTTAGGGAGGAAGAGTTTATTTTGGTGACAGGAACGTGAGGCAGCTGTCACATTGCACCTGCAATCAGCAAGACAGAATAGGAAGTGGGGCCTGCCTATCAAACCTTAAGGCCTGCCTCCAGTGACGCACTTCCTCAAACCGTGCTCTGCTTTCCAAAACAATAGTTCCAACGCAGGGACCGAGAATGTTCGAGAGTGTTCGAACACATGAAACCAAGGAGGAAGGGGTAGTGGGCATGGCAAGGGGGTGGAGCCTCTGTCATCAGTTTGCCAAAGACATCTGACCTCCTGCTAGTAGTGCCTTCATAAGGCACAGATAAAAGGAATCAAAGATCTGGCAGCAGAAGGGCTGCACAGCATGGCCCCTACGAGGGAGGCAGGGTGGCCTCAGCATGAACTCAGGGGCAATGTTGATGTCAGAAACAGAATCCCAGAGGAAACGTGAACTAGCTGTCAGAAAGCATGCATGGCCCAGTAGTTACTTTACTGCAAGGGGAAGAGACCAAAAAGGTATCAGAAATGCGGCCCCTCCGGATTTGGTTTCCCCCCACCAAGAGATCAGAGAGCAGTCAAAAAGTCAGAAGGGCATCCCTTCATTTAGGCAAAGGTATTCTCATCTCGGTATTCTGAGTGATCCTCCCAGCCAGCTCCATCTTGAGCACAGTCCCATAGGAATGGGTGCCCTCAGGCACCTGCTGTTAGCAGCTCTCTGTGAGGCTTGCTTTCTCCAGCTCCATGATGGAGAAGCCCACCCTAACCCACCGCCTCTGTGAAGACCTTCCAGGAAAGGATGGCAGATTCTAATCGGCTCTCCAGTTTTTGGTTCTTGTAGTACTGAGACTTGAACCCAGGGCCTCCGGCATGCTAGGCAAGCACTCTACCACCCGGGCTGCTCTAGCCCTCACAGTGAGGGCATCTCCCTGCACCCACCCATTGCTTCGAGTAAAGTGTCATGCCTGCGCCTACACAGGGGACCACGAACCAGCATCTCCATAGCTAAATTTGACAGTAGTACTTGAGTATCAGGGTGGTTGGGTTTTTTGTTTGTTTGTTTGTCGTTTTTCAAGCCAATATTTTTACATTGAGATGTTTAACATTAAAAATTTAGTATCTGAGCATTCGAAGAGGAGGCCAGGCTACGAGGTATACGATGGCTCTGGCTGAGGAGAAGCTGCCTACCTCCAGTGGAGGCACTGTCCCATTTGCCATGGTCTCCACCACTTCCCGTTGTCTCTGATGCTAAAATCAGTGCCAGCTGATGGCGGCGATCGTATTTGTGTTGCCTCGTGTGTGTGTGTGTGTGTGTGTGTGTGTGTGTTGTACATACATGTTCCTGTTGGTGTGGGCACATGTCCATGTAGAAGCAACAGGTCAATGTTGGGTGTCTTCCTCTGTCACTCCCAACTTTCTGTTTTGAGATAGGGCCCCTCACTGAGTCTAGAGCTCAGTGATGTGGCTAGACTGGCTGGCCAGTGAGCTCCAGGGATCGCTGGCTCCACTGCACCTCTCCCGTGGAACTGAGTTACAGGGAAGGCTTTCATGTGACTCCTACAGATAGAAACACAGGTCTTCACGCTCGCGTCACAGGCACCTTACTGATTGTTTTTTTTTTTTTT